GAGGGGTACGAGCATGCACGGCCCACGTGAACATCCAATATTGAGTCGTGATCACTGCACTGCAAGGTGGCGCCAGAGGGGCTCTTCCTCGTCGTGTGAGTGCCGCTGGTCGAGGGGTCCCAAGCTCCGGACAGCAGACATCAAATGGTCCGCCAATCTACCCGCTCAATTAGCACGGCAATTTGTGGCGGCGGCCTTGGTTTCTTCCAAGGAAGACGCTGTCTTTGTTGTCCTCTCTGGAACGACTTACAGCGTCGTGGCGACACGGCGTCTCATCCTCCGGCTAGCAGGGTCAATACCTGGCGGGCATAGGCAGCCGGCCAGTCGGCTACTTGTTTGAGGATTAAAAGAGCGCCACTCCCCCGTCATCTCTGGACGCTGGTTCCGAAAAAACTGGGTTCCAGGCGTGGGAACGCTGCCCGGCTACGCTTCTCAGCGACAGCATGGCGCCTACTGATGACGGCCATAAAAACACCAACTGAAACCACGCGTTCACGTTGGGGTGTTTTGGTGACTAAAGAGCAGCTTCTTGCAGAGCAGTAGAGTGATGGCCTCTATCGCAAAGTGTCAGAAAAGATGACAGCTCAAGATCCAGCTGACACAGGAAACAACGAAGAGATAGACTGCTACCTACTCAGAGAAGGAGGCCTCTTGTTCTGGTGTTTTCACCAGGTTATCAATGGTAATGCCGAATCATTATGTTGAGACGTTATTCCTCGCAAAGTTCACAAATCCTTCGTAACGCGCTGCCATGACAGTGCTTTAGCTGTCCACTCTTCAGGGCAGAAAACTTACGACAAGTTCTGTCGTATGGTAATTTGGCCACCTATGAAATATAATGTGATACTCTATGTACATTCCTGTTCCATTTATTAAAAGGCAAAACCATGTGGTGGTTTCTGCTAAGAACTAATCCAATCAGTTGACAGCACGTCGCCTAGGCAAATAGTAGCCTGTGACATATTGGGTCCATTTCATATAAGTCTGCGTTGAAATGAGTACCTGTTTTTTGTGACTGACCACTTCACAAAATGGGTAGAATTGTTCCCTTCGCGCTAGCTGACTTCACAGAAAGTGTGGGACTGCCTTCTCAAAATTTTCGCCAGGTTCTGATTCCCTGCTTAGCCCATCATGAATAATGTGACGTACTTCACCAACAAGGTGTTCACAGATTCCTGTGATGCCCTGAGATTTCGTAACATGCACACATTTGTTTATCACTTGCAAGCCAACATTACAGGAGAGGTAAACTGAAATCTTATATCAATGCTTGTCACACATACCGAGCGTTCGAAGGACTGGGACCTGAAACTGACAGGGATAGCATTTGTAATGAAAACGACAGTGAATCTCTTAACAGGTTTCACTCCTGCACAAGTTAACCTGGGCAAAGAATTGAGCCTTTCCGCAGGACAGTGCATGTAGAGCCATTTCTCCAAGACCTTATGCAATATTTGCAGATGGCCTGAGGCAGAGGCTGACTAATGCGGTAGAACAAGCTGGACAGCACCTTGATGTATCCTGCATGGAACAGGCCAGACAATATGATAAGCATTGGAAGAATATTAATTTTGAGCTTAGTGATTTGATGTTGAAATTAACGCACACTTGAAAACGCGCACTCAGTGACACTTGAAAAGGTTTTTCATCTTCCCTAGCGAACAGGTGAGACGGGCCTTGTAGAATCACTGAAAAATCCAAGCTTTCGTACATGTTGACATACTGCATGACTCATCAAGAGTGTGGCCCTATTCATGTTTCCGATATCAAACGTTTTTTTTTTTTTTTTTTTTTGCACGACAAGGTTCAGCTGTGGGAAATTCAGACATTCTTCACCAGAGCTTGGCCACCCAGTCACCAACACCACCGAGCAAGTGGTACAATCTTTGTCTGCGGTAAAGTATAAGAGAGGGGTTTCGGAAGACAAAGTAGCCGATTGGGCTAGTTGGAACATACTCAACACGATCAGCACACAAAAAAAGAACAAGAAGACAATTAAGAAAGTGCACAACACAAGCGCTGTTACTAACAACTGAAGGTTTAAGGGAAGAAGTGCGTCATATATATATATGTAAACATTAAGGCACGAAAAAACCTTGACAACCCCACCAAGCACGTGATCAAGTATACTGTAGGTATGAAATCTCAGCATCTATGAAAGCGATTGAAGGCTGGCTCACGCACCGGTCTTTTGCTTTTATGATTTAAAACGCTTCATCAATTTCACACGAGCGCTGGTCTATATGCCTCATGAACACAGCGGTCTAGGTAAACTCAGCTGCGCAGCCGCACTGCCGGCAATGTAGGGACAGATGCATAGATGGTGTCCCTTTCAGAGAGCTAGCATGCTTGCTTAGACAGACATTGAGGCAATGTCGTTTGCCTAATTTACATGCACCCGCATGACACACGCTTCCTAGCTTGACACACGCTTCCTAGAGAGGGGGAGCGTAGACGCATGCGCAATAGGGGTGTAAAATCCAATGGGAGGAACGCCTAGAGGAGAGATAGATGCTCTTTGAGTCGGCGTTCTGAGGCGAGAGTGTAGAGGAGGAGATAAAGAGGCAGCGGACAAGCATGCGTAGTAAGAGTATTCACGCTGCCCTCTAGATTGAGCTCGACCCTAAGCTGCTTCTCATCTAAAATAAAACAAAAACTAGCAGTGAAGCCACCGTAACACCTGAAACAATGCTGGAAATAAGCTTCAATAATCTAAATGCAGGGAGGATTCTTGATGAACAAGTTTCACTAAAATGATTGCTGATTAGTCTTGAACTCAATTTTACAGTGATCACAGTGGCTGGCTCACTGAAATCATTGTGGATGCCAAACTCGTACTTCCTAAAACTGCCCAACTGTATTAACCCAACTAATTTACATGCACCCGCATGACACACGCTTCCTAGCTTCTTGCCAGTACGAAAGACAACGTTTATGTCATAATGACTGTTCACCCATACCTGCACGTGGTATCATACTATTTGAACAGAGAGAGAGAAAAATAGAGAAGAAAGACAGGTAGGTTAACCCAGCTTGGCTTGGTTGGCTACCCTAAACTTGGGGTGGGGGAAATAGGGAATAATAGAAACGAAAGAAGGTTTGAATAAGGTGGCCAGTCATTATATGACATAAACATTGTCTGTCGTGCCAGCAAGAAGCTAGGAAGCGTGTGTACGAGAGTTGACAAAAGGCTGCAGAAGGGGCAGGTCACAGTCAGTGCTAAAGATTGCTCTATAAAGCACTCCAAGCATTTCACTGACTGTGCAAGCAGAGTGGTGTACTCCACCCCTTTGTGATGCGAGTATATGTACATTGGGCAGACAAGACGTTGCCTCAACGTCTGTCTAAGGGAGCATACTAGCTCTCTGTAAGAGACACCATCTACGCATCTTGCCCTCCGTTGCTGACAGTGCGGCTGTGCAGCTGAGTTTATTAAGACTGCTGTATTGATGAGGCATAGCGACCAGTGCATGCATGAAATCGCTGAGACGTTTGAAATCATAAAAGCAGGAGACAGGTGTGTGAGCAAGCCTTCAATCGCTCTCACAGATGCATACTTGATCACGTGGTTGGTGGTGGATGTCAAGGTTTTTTAAATGCAAAGTATTTTTTAGTGAACTTCAGCGACTTTAAGCGTATCTATCCATCTAGCCGCTTACGTTTGGCTGCTCTCGTGATCACTCCTTTAACTTGGCGTGAACAAAAATTAGCATAAAAGGTAAGATGGTTTGATGAATATGACACGCTGGTCAAAGCATGAATAATGTCACATTCCCGTCGCGTACATCGTCAAGCACTTCCCGTCACAGTGGCACATACCCACGGGCGAGTACATATGTGCCACTGATATGCCTGTATGTACCACAGGTGATTGACACTTAGTATCTACCGAGGAACGACGAGAACACGCATGGGCAATTTTTAATGTGCGAGCGTTGAGAAATACCTGACATCGGTGGCATCAACCCGAGGAATGCAAAGATAAATGTCTGGGTCCCATCTGGAATCGAACCCAAGCATTCTGCATGGCAGTGAAGCATTCTACCACAGAGCTACGCCAGGTCTCGGAACTACTTTCAAATAGACTCTAATCTTCATAAAATGTCAATAGGGGTTGCAGTGCTGCCTATCAAATTTTATAAACATTACATATGTGCTCCTTTGGTACAGTCATCGTGCTGGTTTAACATCAATTGTGGTTCGGTGCCATGCACTGAAGTTGATTTATGTAGCATTGTCCACGGCCAGCATCCTCGCATGATTCGGCGCTTCATATCAGCTTCTGGTGTTGCTAATACCCATGTTCCTGTTGGCATCGTTGGGCAAGTGCAGACAACTGGTTATGTAAACATCTGTAACTCTTCAATATATGTCTGGGCGTGCGACATTTGTAAACATATTTAGCATCATTTCATGACGTGTCGCTCAATAAAAAAAATTGCGACACGCTCACCTTCCCTACGCATAGTTTGCATAACGTCGATTCCGAAGGTACGTGGGCTCTGCTGGATTATTTTATGCCTTCATGTTCGCATATATATATATGACACGTTTCTTTAAATTTTCAGTTGTTAGAAACAGCGCTTGTGTCGTGCACTTCTTTGTGTACTTATTCTTATTTTGTGGCCTGATCGTGTTGAGTTTGAGAAGACGACATATTCACTTCCTTTGTGCTTGCTATTCTTTTCCTTCCGAAAGCATATGGTAGCTATGCTCACCTCGTTCATTGGCCTAAGATGCATATACATTGGTTGGTGGCAAGAAGAAAATGTTCATTGTTTTTTTTTTCCTTCTCAGTACGCTTTAGGGTACCTATGGCCGAACATTATTAGCTGACCTCTGGTCAACTAATAGTCTGCCCGCCATTTTGAGGAGGGGGGGATGTGTAGAAACAACACGCACCGGCTATCCAGAGATAGCGCCACGTGTCACGCAGAAGTTGTGTGTGTAGCTTACCTGCGCTCTTCAAAGGGTCAGTCTTTGTGCTGTCCAAGGGAGAGGTGCCCTGGCAGCCAGGAAGAACAGCTGCTGACACTAAAGCTGGCTGATTGCTGCTACTCAAGAATCATGGTCGCCGTGTAGCTTTCTCATGTGCCTGGGCTGACCCTGCCAATTGACACATTTAGGGAAATAAAGTGTTCTTTTTTTATGTGCTTCCATCGTCCTTGCTTTAACTATGAACGGGATACTGCAAGCTCGATACCCACAATATGGATGAATCAAGAACAACACGCATAAGAAAAAATACAAGGAGTGGCACTTTCAAGCCACTATTGACAATGTTACATTTACTGATTCATAAAGATAATTCCGGTGTGGTGCTCGAATTTTGTCAAAAAGAGCTATGCGTTTTTTATCATCAGCACAGCTAGCTTTGATAGTGCATCCAACAGTGCTGTGTGCAGTATCAAATCTGTTCAAAATATTTTCAATAAAACTTCCTGAACTTCAGCATCTACAGTGACTTGTGTGTGCCATCAGGAAGACTACTAACAGTCTTTAATTCGATTTCATTATAATTATTTTTCACGTGGTGTCATACTATAAGTTCCTCTACCTTAGTGCAACTTCCCATATATTCTGCTTTTGGTCCAGTCTATTAACTGGTTGCGGTTTAGACAAGCAGAAACCTTCCTTTTTAACATGAGCCTTTATGTTGCCTTCCTGTTCCAGTGAAGTTGCCAGCATATCCTCAAAATTTTCATAGAACAAAGGATTAAGGCTACACATTTCATGACTGCTGTTGAAAGTGAAGCAGACTAAAAGGCAAGACATGTGGCATATCGTGCAATGCAAAGGTGAACAAATATCACATAGTTCACAGAGCTAGTTCTCCAAATGCTGGCAGTAGATAATGACCTGAACGAGCTGTGAATCACAAAAAAATAAGAGAGAAGTTATCTCAGAAACTTTTTATTTGCAAAGAAGAGTAAAAATAAGGTGTGGAGTCTGCCTTGGAAGTTTTTAATGCCATACACTCTATGGCAAGTTCTCCAGCAATTTTGTTCGCGAAACCATGGCCATAACACAAAAGGCATGGCACATTTTTAACAATAATACATATATCTCCATAGAAAACAAGTGGAGCTGGGATGGGCCAACTAGAATCGACTTGATTTCAGGAGTGCTATAAAGGTGGGCAGCTTATAGACCAGCTTGTGGAAGAAAAGCATCTTTAGCTGATCAATGTGCAGAGGCGTGGTGTCTCAGTGTGTGCTTTCTGGTTTTCAGCGAACACATAAGCCCAATGCTGAAGGAGAAAAACTCTCCCTAAGGGAAGTGCTGGCTACACATAGGTTTGCAACTGATGGCTGAAGAACAATTCTAAATTTGGCCATGTGAGACACTATCAATGCAGTAACTACATACTGTTGTGCTTTCCAGTGTTGCAAAGTGCGCATTGGGTGGATGGCATTCTAAAATTTTGTTTTCACATCGTTTTGGTGCTCTCGATGCCGAAGACACAATCACTGTGGCCACGTGATCCTGCCTAACATTTCATACCGATGGTGGTGCTTGCTTTTCTAAAATATCTCCAAAGCATGCGTGCCAAAACCACAATAAGATTATGAGGGATGCCGTAATGGAGGGCTCCAAAAATTTTGACCATCTGGTGTTCTGTAATGTGCACTGACATTACAGAATACACAGGCCTCCAGTATATCGCTCCCATCGAAATATCACCACTGCAGCCAGGATCAAAACCCCAAATTTAGCGTCAGCAGTCGAGGTCTGTAACAGCTACACCACCACAGCTGACACTTGCTTTTCCAGTGGTTGGCCTTGCGCCTGATATGTATAGTTAGAGCTCACCAAACCCTGTGCTTATACCGCGCACCTGAATTCATTGTCTAGGCAGTGCATAACTGTGTGTGGTTAATATCGAATTCAAAATGAGAAGCTTGTTTTCATAAATGTGAAATACTATTTTGTATTTCTAAATTGTTTCTCTTTGAGCATCGGATGTTTTACAGGCAGTGTGTTGCTACACATCTCTTTAGAGCCACTGTAATAGTACTCAAACAGAAGCAGCATTTTTTTCGGTGGTACTTCTAATTTGTTTAAGTTCTTGTCACTCAATTGTTTTACCTCAAGCAAGCATTTATATGACAAGTGCAATTAATGCAGGCCACAGTAGTATATCCTCTTTCTCAGCTGAAGCGGTATTAATCCTTTTGCAACCACTGACGAGTTAAGTCACAAGATTTTATACCAAAATTACTGATGATGACTCCTTATATAAATACTCTCAATGCCATTTGCAGCATTACAGATAAAAGTGGTGTTACAAGTACTCGTCACACTTTTGTTTCTTCACATTAGATGGCCACAATTGTCCATTTTGAAACATTTGAGTTTTGGCTTTCATTGTATTGCCATGCAGTGAATCCACCTTCGAGTTGGTATTTTTTTTCTAGGCAACTAATGAAATAAAGAAGCCCCTTGGAAATGAACAAAGCATACTGTTTTATTCAGAAGAAAAAGCTCTACAAATTGAGTGAAAAAATCTTTTCAGTAGTTTTGGCACATTTTTCTTCTTTCCTTTCAGTCAAGCAAGGGGTAACACATTTACCTTCCCAAGGCCCCTAATAAATTAATTTTGCTTAGTTTTGATTTGAGTCAGTTTGCTTAAGTGCTTAACAAAAAAAGGCAGAAGTAAAATACTATGGTATGCAAAAAAAAAAAAATGGAAAGCCACCAACCTGCAAACTGTAGAGAAAATGCTTGGAAAATATATGTCATGCACTCCATGACTACCATCAAGTGCTGGGAAGCAGTTGATACAGGCATCAGGTCTTCCCCAAGACCAGAAGCACATGTACTTGTCCGTCATCGTCCCATGCCAGTTTCAAGGAAGAAAAACATCTGATCTAGTTGATGTTTAGCCAGTGTGGCACTCCAGGATGACAGTCCCATTAGGCCAGTGTTGTAGGCTTGGAGTTTGCTTCTTTTTCCATAGGAAAATCTGGGAATTAAAAAAAAAGGCTGTCTAAAAGAAGTGTTCGATGCACTCAGCAGTTTTCATTGGGTAGCATACAAGTTTTTACACGAGAGGCAATGTAGAGTCCACAGTACCACAAGAAACACCTAGACACAATAAAGTGTGCAGGCTACTGTGGCTTGTTTTAAATGTGCTCGTAAAGTATATTTATAATCCATATCAACAGACATAGAACCTGTAGCCTCATACTCCATTGCAGATAACCACAAAGCATCTGCAAGACATGCTTTAGAGGTGCAAGCAATGCAGATTCGCGAAACCATGGCCTGCAATTTTCTGCCAAAAAGCATCTTTGTATTATCTCCTCTAATGAGCAACATCCCTTCAACTATCTTTCTTTTTTATGACTGCACATATGTATACAGGGTGTCCCAGCTAACTTGGCCCAAGATTTAAAGAAAAACCAAGAGCTCTAGGAAGGTTGCACTAGCTGGGTATTAGCACTAAAAATGTGTCCTAAAAACAAATAGTTTCAAAATATCACTAAGTATTAAGTAATTAATTAACATTCAGTAATTATAACATTAGTAGGGCATTTTTTGAATGTCTAATTCAGAAAATATCAATCTTAACACATTCATTGTGGCATGGTTTTTTGAGGTCTCATTTAAGGTGCAGAGTGACTCCCACCTGGGTCACTCAGCGTAATGTCCAAGTGCGCCATGACCCACAAGTGGATCATGCACCTGTGCCTATTTCATTCGATCCGAAGAGATGGCAATGCTACCTTTGTGACTGGCATTTGGCGTGCTTATTTTAAAGACACAGAGCAATTTATTTGCTTTTTTGCATAAAGCTATGCTGAAATTTAAGGTGTCTGGCACTAGAAAACACAAGGACACATTTGCTACCTCTGTTTTGTGCTTTAATAAGCATCGGTAAAAGGCATTATGATACACTGAGTCAGGTTGACACGTTTTTGCAAGCAGCAGGAAGAACACATGTACACTTATTTGAGTGAAACACATTTCAAAAGCCATATGGCAAAATGGGGGGGAGCAACACAATGATAAGTAGGCCATCACTTTGCTCCTTAAAAACAACATTACCATCTCACATTAAATCTAGTAAAAATAAATAAATTGGTTGCATTCTATAACCTTAAATGGCAGCACATGATGGAGAGTTTTTGAGCGTGGGCCACCAGTTGTTCACGCCCTCCACTCAGCAAGAAAATGTTTTAATTCAGTGCATCATGGGCAACCGATGGGTCAGGGCATCTAACACTAAAAAAGTATTCTGGCTATTCATAATGTCTAACAACAACGTTCACCTCTGCGTTCAAGTGTGACAAAGTCATTGCATCAGCAAGTAGATGCGTGCTCATAACATTGCAGCCACACAGAAGGAGCACAGGTGACGCACACTCCAGTGAATGCGTTAAGTTGTAGGCAACTACAAAAACATTGAAATCAATTAATAATTTGTTTCGTTTGCTCACTTAACAGCTATTACTTGTCACATAACATCATTGGAGAGACGGCTGCAGGCGATAGCGAAAAAGAAGAGAGAGGAGCCTGCGAGCGTCGGTAGGTGGTTTAGAAACTCTCCAACTATGCACGGTGCCCATAGTTTTTGCAGAACCAAGCTAAACATATTGATTTCACTTGTGATGAATAGGTTTACAAGAGTGAAACCTTAGGAATATTTTGCAGGCTTCCTTAAAATGCCGGAAAAATCACTGTGGAGCTTGTATGTTGGTACGAAAAATTTTATCTGTCATTTTGGAATGTCTTCAACAATGCAACAAAATGCACTTTGCTCCAAAGTTAATATTTTGCATAACCGATTTCAGTCATCATGGCCACATGTGAACACACGTGATCTATAACATTGAAATGATGAAAATTGCATTATTAATACTTTTTTTATGTAACAAAAATTGGAAATGGACCATGGATTAAACTACATAAGTGCGCCAGACGCCCAGCACAAATAAAATATGATGCATAGAAACAAAACAAGACAGTCAGCATATGAAAGGCTACACTCTTATACTCAAACAAATTGCAGTTCAATAACACATATTCATACATGCAGTACAAAAAAGTAATATTGGCATAATTTGTAAACACTGGGAATCAGCATCAAAGACTGTTATGCAAAAAGAATAAAAAAGCTATCTCCTCAACAGTATAATTGCCGACCTCGAAGGGTTTTTGTCCTCGCTGCCATTTTCCTTATAAAGCCCCAATCGACATCACTCCGCGCATCATGTGTTCTATCCACGAGTATAAACTCATATGAGCGCTGGCGACGAACGCGCGGCTGCAGCAGAGATGACACGAGCCCTCGATATCTATATCGCATGGCAGGCACGGCCCATAAACCACCTCCGATATTTTTTTTTTTCAATAATTTCAAGTAAACGCGCGCAATGTGTGCAGAATGCCGTCGTGATCAACGATTCTGCACGTGGCAGCGCTACGAGCCGCCGGCGCGCCACAAATTCCAAGCACGGTCGGACTAGACTGCACCTGCGCGCGCTAATTGTAGGTGCAGTCTAGCCCGGCCTCGTTCGAAGAGAGACAAACATCTTTATTATGTAGGTAGAACAAAAAGCATGGGAGGGACCCCTAGTCCGGGGTCCCTAGGACGACTCCGGCGACGTGTCGAGCCCGTTGTATGATGGCTCGCAGAACCTCGGGAGGTCCGTCGCGGAGGGCGTCGTCCCACAGCTCTTTTTTGCGCCGCGGGCGGAGGAGGGGAGGTAATGGAGGGAAAAGGTTTGCCGTGCACTCGATAGTGACGTGGAAGATGGAGGGTGACCTGCCGCAGCCCGGACAATTGTCGGCATAACAGTGTGGCCAGAATTTGTTCAGGGAGACAAGATTAGGAAAAGTGTCGGTTTGCAACTGGCGTAGTGCCACTGCTTCCTCTCTCGAGAAGGATGGTGGTGGCGCACGGTGAGTGCAGCGAACGCTTCTATAACGACGGAGAATCTCTCCGTAACGCAGCAAGGGATCCCCCCACCCTGAACTGGTCATTTCCCCACGCCGGGCCGCCCGGAGGGAAATATCGCGGGCTACTGCATGTGCGCGTTCATTGCCCGGCAGCGAGGCATGACCAGGGGTCCACATTAAGTGGATGCGGGAAGGTGTGACTGAATCATTTTTCGGGATCTGTTTGAGAATTTGTTGTGCCGCTCTCGGAATGCCATGTCCTGATAGGAACGCCCGGCATGCCTGTTGCGAGTCCGTCAGTATATACACTTCCCCTGGGACACGAACGGCGTGTCGAATGGCGAGAGCAACGCCGAGAATTTCTCCGTACGTGACATTAGTGCCGCGCATTGCAGCAGAGTCCTTCAGGGATTCAGTGCCATCCAACACTACGGATGTATAGCCCTCCTGAGTGCGCGCCGTGTCTGTGTATAGAGCCTGGGATTCTGGGATGTTTTCGAGCATGCGGTTAAGGTATCGCACACGAGCTTTACGCCGTCCTTTGTCATGCACTGGGTGCATATTACGCGGCAAGGGATGAATATTCAGTACCTTACGTAGGGCGGGTGATAAGGTCGTTGGGCGGGCTTCAGGTTCAAGTGGTGGGACAGAGTGCCCTAACCGTGCAAGGAGATAGCGGCCAGTACGTGTGAGCAGGCGGTGACTGACCCAATGCGTCTCTAGTAGTTCTCCTAGTGTGTTATGCATTCCTAAATTAAGGAGACGGTATGTGGAAGTATAGTGCGGTAGGCCATGGGCTAGCTTCGTCGCTTTACGAATGAGGGCATCAACGCGAAGTTGTTGCGCTTGGGTCAACCGCTGAAAGGGAAGATGGTATGTAAGACGGCTGATGATGCATGCCTCCGCCAAGCGCAGCAGGTCCTCTTCTCGAAGACCCGAGCGCCTGTTAGAGACCCGCCTGATCATGGCCAGAATTTGCTCAGTTTGTCGGGATAGAAGGGAAACAGTATAGTTAGACCTGCCATCCGCCTGGACGTGTAGGCCTAGGATGCGAGCACGGCTGACCTGTGGTATGGGTATACCATCCACGTGTACAGTGATGGGCGGCATAGGTGAGGGGCTGCGGGAACGAATGATTATGAGCTCCGACTTTTGCGGAGCACAATTTAAGCCCCCTTTTCTCGCATACTCAGAGACAGTGTCGACTGCTTGCTGCAGTCGCTCTTGGATAGCACCGTCGCAACCGCGTGTACACCAGATAGTGATGTCGTCCGCATAAATAGCGTGAGCGACATCGGGGATCTGATCGAGAAGCCGGGGGAGCCCTGCAAGCGCGATATTGAATAGGGTGGGGGAAAGAACAGAGCCCTGTGGTGTCCCACGCCCTACAAGGCGGATTGTACCTGATCGATGCGGCCCGATTCCGATGGTAGCTGTGCGATCTCGAATAAATGCGCGGATATAGTTGTACATACGAGCCCCACAATGCGACTCTGCAACATTGCGAAGGATAAGTTCATGTGCAACATTATCAACGCCCCTTTGAGATCTAAGGCGACAAGTGCTCTCGTTTGGGCGCGCGACGGTGGTCCTAAGACTTCCTCCCGTAATTGTAAAAGGACATCTTGGGCAGACAGATGAGCTCGATATCCGAATTGTGTGTTAGCAAAGAAAGAGTCGTTCGAAGAAACAATCCCTCTTCCTCCGCGTGACGCGCCGTGCCACATTTCTGACGCATCAAGCCAAATATGCCAAAAATGCTGTGACTCGTCGAGCAAGAGCATACGACTTCCGGTCAGTCGGCAAGCAGCTACCCGCGCTGCTTGTTGTTGCCGCGTTGGCAATCGTGGGCGCAACGCAGGTTCCTTACAGGCACGATTACGGGCAGCCACGGTTCGCCAACAAGCACGCAGCTGATTGAGTTGACGGCTGGAGTCGCGGCGACTGGAGGTAGACGGTGTTTCAAGCAGCCCGTCACGATGACGTATGCCACGCGAAATCGGGAGGGGCTCTCAGCGAGAGAGCTAGCAGAGAGAAGAGCAGGAAAGATCGAAAGGTGTT